GAAATCAGATGAAATGAGATTCCCCTTTCTCATTTGTCACCACTTGCTTGCAAAGGGCCTGGGCTGAGCAGGCGGCCTGTGTCCCATTCTCCTGTCACCCTGCAGATCGTGCTGGATTTCCCCCCCAGCCTCCAAACAGGCTTGTCCCCCAGCCACTGGCCGTCACCAGCAACCACACTGGCTCAACCCTGAGCCCTGGTAAAGCCCCACATCGCATCATGTGTAACAATTTGTCAAGAGTGAACCTAAGTACGGTGCTTCGAACAGCTCAGGAACCTGCCTTTCATGTGTGTGTGTTGCCTGCCTTCTGTTTCTAGAAAGCGAAATTCGTTATTCTACCTGGAAGAAAGCGGTGATGAAGTCAATGGGTTGGGTTACAACCGAGTCTTCGGGAAGTGGTAACTATGTTTTTATCATCACTGCCACTGTCTTTGTATGTTAAGTAGCTTATTTAAGTATCTGCCCATTTCTATTTAGCAAAGCTGCTCTGAAGGAAAGCATTGCCATATATCCAGAGTTTCTAACATTTTGAAAACACTTTAAAGTTCTAAACATGAGTTGTAAATTGTCAGGTTGATGTGCATACATCCTGCCATGTCGTTCCTTATTAGTTTATTCGATTGATTGCTTAGTTTTCTAAAAGTAAAATTATTTCTAGTTTCTTCTTTTGTCTAGTTTCTTCTTAATGAAAAAAAATAATCAACTGCAGCCTTTGTTGTTTTCTTCTCTCTTAATGTCTTACTTTACTTTTTGGGAGGCCGTCTTCATGACCTGAACCAACCAAAAGCTATATTGATTTCAGAATATATTTCACAACTTCCTAAGCTGATTCCAAGCTGATTCCAAGTCCTTAGCAAGTGTATATTATGGGAATTCATTGGACTCAGAGAGGAAGAAAGGTACCAAACATAGTAAATTAGAAGTGTCATAATAAGTAAGGAAATGCTCTTGGAAGAAAACAGGACTGTTTTTTCTAATCGTTTAGGTAGGAAAGTATTCAGCTTAAGTAGATATTTAGTTATAAATGGCCTTAAGCTTCTTCAACATGCCTGTGCTATTTAAACGGGCCTTTCATATAACATAATATTGTAATTATTTGCTCAATGCAAGATTTGGAACATAATGAATGGAACAATGACCAGTAATATATTGAAGCATAACCTGCCTTCCAATCCCAAAGTGGGTGCAGAACCACTTTTCCCCCCACCTCCACCCCCTAGAACCACTTTTATTTTATTTATATTTATTTATTTATTTTATTTTATTTATTGATTTGAGAGAGAGACATCAATTTGTTGTTCTGTTTTCATTGGTTGATTCTTATATGTGCCCTGACTGGGGATCAAACCTGCAACCTTGGTGCTCTAAACAACTCAGCTACCCGGCCAGGGCCAGTCTTGATGTATCTGGCTTTTAGGAGAAGCTTCTGGAACCATCCACTAGCACAGGTCACTGTGATCTGTATTTTTAGCCCGGGGTGTTTCTACTTGAAGCTTTTGTTTTTTTCTCCTAAGTAAGCTTAATATCCTTTCTTTTTTTTTAATCTTCACCCAAGGATATTTTTTCCATTGCATTTCAGAGAGTGGAACAGGGAGAGAGAGGGAGAGAGAGAGAAACGTCGATGTGAGAGAGATACGTCGATTGGCTGCCTCCCACTCACACGCCAACCAGGGCCCGGATCGAGCCTGCAACCGAGGTCCACGCCCTTCGCTGGAATCGAACCCACGACCCTTCAGCCTGCGGGCCAACCCTCTAACCACTGAGCCCAGCCGGCCAGGGCACTATCTTTTTTTCTTTCAATCTTTTATTCTGAGACTCAGTCAGAAAGCATCAAAACAGCCATGTTCTCAGGCAATTTTTCAGAATGCAGATTAAAATACAACTTAGTTTTCAAATGAGAGTAATATGAACAGTCGGGTGCATTTCCTTGTATACCAAATTCTATTTGAAAAAAGCAAACAAAACCAATAAGGGTTGAAATCTGTTTTCAGTATGTTAATATAATTTTTCTGATATCCAGAGGATCTATACTTTGAACTGGGGAGGGGTCCGGTTGCTTACTTTGTGTGTTTGGGGGGATAAAGCTAAAGTCAACGGCCTCCCAAAAAGCTCTCCATCGGCTTCCTCCGGCTTTGGCAGCGGAAGGCGGATGGCCCGTGTGCTTTATGTCCTTGGCTACCTGTGGCATGCTACCTGTATTGTTTGTTGATTGTCACAAGCCTTCAATATTGATTATATTTTTGATTGGAAGTAATAACTCTTTGCTAGCTTTTATGAATATACTATTTTTATAACTTGTTTTGCTATCATGTGATTCTTAACACAAATATTGTAATTATGTGTCTCTCTTTTGGTTTGCTTGACGGGAATTCCCTTCTACTTGGATGACCACAGGTGACCCTAGTATCTTCTGTAGTCTACCCTTGGGCTTTTTTATAATGAGTAGCATGGTAATGTTTATCGGAGCAAGGTACATCTCAGGTCAGTTACTCTTTCAATTAGACAATTTTATTAGTTAGCGTGAATGTATTTGTATATAACTCCGCAGGAAGTTTTCAGTGTTTTTTTTTTCATTTTTCCTATGCTTAGGAACCTGGAAAATCCATTAAAGGTCTAATTAGCCTAATGACTCTTTTGTGGCAGTCAGAATTAAAGACTGTGGCTCTGCTCAACCTCTTATTTTTAGTAGACAATCTATCTGAGGGGCTGCATTCTGCTCTCAGCTACAGCCATGAGCCAAAGTGAAAGTCTACTGTTAATGCCACCTGCCAGGACTTTCAGAGTGGCAGGTGAAAAAGTATAATTTTGGATATTAATGAAATTGGCTTTCAAATGTACATAAGATGTTTTTCATACTACGAAAATTTGCTATGAATGGCTTAAGATTTTAATTCTGGTAAGAGTTTTGGCCAGAGTGTGTAAGCAGAGTTTCTACAAAATTCTAAAACTGGGGGAAATTTATAATCACTTTTGCTTTAGTTAAAAGAATACATTTTGTGAACTGAAGTTTTTAAAACTATTGCTTAAATAAATTGGGGTTGTATTAGAACTGAATTATTATTTTTGTACCTTAACTTCTACTGAATATTCTTATGAAAGTAAACTTGCTCAGCATGTGATGAAATACGTTGCATAACCTATATTAATATAAATATAATCATCATTTTGGAAGCTGTTCCTGATGATAGCTCAATTTTTCTTCAAATTGATTGGCTAAAATGGAAGTAACTTGTTTCATATGTTGCCAAGAGAGTGAAACATTTTAAAAATCTTCATGATTAGGGAGAGTTAAATTCTTTCTCTTAATTAATTAGATGATGGCCTGGTTTTCAAATGTAAAATTTAAACTTTATTGATATGAGGGAAACGTGTGTGTACAAATCTGACAGGCCTTAATTCAGCTTGCCATTTTCAGTTTAGTGCTATATATAAATATGGACTGAAAATTATTTACATCAACAGGAAATTAGATTATCTTTTTATTAATGATAAAATATGGGTTACTTGCATGAAAATTTAAAACTAAGACTACCTTTTTCTGTATTCTCCATATTTAGGGTGAATTTGCTCAAATCTTCTGCTTCCATAATAACCACACTTTACGTTGGTATTAGTGCTTTACACCTTACAAAGCGCTTCTGTGTATGTAAATCTATAGCTAAGTAGCAGATGTCTGTTTTCTTGGAAGAGGCCAGATATTCCCCAGAAGAACTGGAATTTAAATTTGTAAAGAAATTTATATGCTGTTTTGGGGAAAGTTCTATTAGCTTTTCAGTATCCTCGGGTGTTTTTTGGCTGCACAATGATCATCTGGAAAAGGAAAGGAAAGAACATTGCAGCTAAATGTTCCCATTGACTTTCTTTCCCACTCTCTGTTTCCCCTTTGCCACCAAGACAGGATGAAAACTGCGACATGCAGCCTGTCTCTAAGCCAAAAGATGCATTAAGTTTCCAAATTCCTAGGCTTCCAAAATGGGTATGGTTACCATCTTAGGTTCTCTGTTGGTAACATATGCTGAGATTTGAGAACAGTGGAAATTGTTTGCCTTGGTAAACAAATAGCAAAATTGTTACTATTTGCTAATTTTGGAACTGGCCATTATATTCGTTGCATTTTTAACCGTGAAGCAATGTTTAGAAACCATATGGAATTTCTAACTCTGTAAATGCTTAAATAGTCTTCATTGCTTTAACTCCTGAACTGCATGTATGTTGTTATTGACATATTTGGTTTTTGCCCCCCATTTTAGGTGTCCCATAAATAATACCAACTCACGGATTCCAGCAATGGGAGCTCTTTACCTAACAAGAGACTCCAGCGATTCTCTCTTAATCTGATGACACTATTAATAGACTCTGATTTTATTTATAAGCCACTTGCTGCATGACCCTCGAAGTAGACCTGTGGCTCGAAATAAAGAAAATGCAGCAGAAAGAATGCTATAGAAACATTTGGTGTGTTTTTTAACATCAACCGTAAGATTGGACCGGCCACCTTTGGAGCTGAGCCCTCCTTTGGCATCACTCCCGCCCCAGTTCCTCTAAGATCTAGGAAGAATCCAGGCCCTGTCCATTGGCAGCTTTCCTCCAGCACAGCCCCATGCTCATGGGCCAGGGTTTGATTCCCTGCACTACACACACGCGATCAAGGGGATTGCTAACCGCCTCAAAATGAGCAGGCCCCCAAAGTTCTCTTTTCTGATGAGGGAGACCACAGAATCTTCACTGAATGTTTAAATGGAATCCTCTACTAAATTCTTAAAATGAAAATTTCGTATTCTCATAGCTTAGATGTTTTTCTGGAAAGTATTTGCCAAAACCAAAATTCTTCAGACATTTTACACCGTCTCACTAATTACACTGAATTGCTGTCCGGATCTTCTAGGGAAGGACATTTTCCCCCCTTTCCCCCCATCTCTCCTTTTTAAATTTTTTACTTTATATGTATAACATACATGCCTATATATTTTATATACTGAGGGTAGCCCATTTATAAATTAAGGGTACATTTTACATGGCTTCACTAATTACACTGAATTTGTGTCCAGATCTTATAGAGAAGAACACTTTTTTTTCTTTTTATATTTCTTACTTTGTATGTATTACATACATGCCTATATATTTTATATGCTGAAGGTAGCCCATTTATAAATTAAGAGCACATTGTATTCATTAGGGTATAATGGGACTGGTCTTAAGCGGACCGCTATGTGTATAAGTCTCTTGGGGAAGACGGCTGTATATGTTTTGGGGCAACAATTATACATATTATTTACCAGGAGAAATTTTTTCTTAAAGAGCCAACATTTGAAACTTAAAGTATGTGTCCTATGTCAATAAAAGAAAATATACTTTATTGTGACTTCAACTATATTTTTATACCTTACATTTTTATTTAAAATTTTGTGGAATACTACAGTAAGTGTTGTTTTGAAACACAAGGACTAGTCCCTATAAAGTTATTTTCCTTTGACATAATTTTAAACATATTTGGGATCCTTTTGAGAGGATGTCAAAAATGGTTAAAGATTAAGTAAAAAAACAACCACCTTAGGAATAAAGCCAAGATCACTTTCCATCCAAATATGTTATTAATTGCTGATAAGCAATTATAATTTCTATTTGGGATGACAGAATTACCTCTGCTTACTGTCACAACTAAAAAAGGTTTACTATTAGAAATGCTTCCAGTGAAACCAAGAATTTCTCAAAATATTTAGTATTACGTGTGCCTAATCTAGCTTCTTGATGTCGATTTTAAAAGCATCTTAAAATTAATTGCTGTTTACTACAAACAATATATTGCCTCTTAATTATTTTATTCAATCAGTGCTGAAAATGGAAAAATATTTATATGTTAATATAAAAAGTTTTGTTTGGAGTTAATGCTAACTTGGATTTGCAGTTCTCATTGTGCTGTTTCTAAATTGTTGAATCTTCTGGGTTTTATTGATGCTGGTGCCACTTTAGTGACATAAATATTATAGAAAGGTACTGTGAAATTACTACTTTGTGGCAGGGTACTTTGCAACATAATTATGTCTCTACAAAGGTAGGTTAAGTTCATTGTAAAGAATTGTGAAAATCACTGTTCAAAAAATTCTAAGAATACATCAACTTTCTATAAATTGCAATATTTATAAATGTTTGAAATTGTACACATTGATATTTCATGATAAATGTACTTAAAATAAATCGACCCCTCATTCTTACTGGCATCGCTCATTTACAGGCTATAACTTAGATCTAAGTTAAATTAAGAGAGATGTTTAGGAACCGGGAAGCTCGGCTGTTAGCACTTGATCAGGCACATTCTGAAGAATTCACTCGCCCAGAAAGCCGTTTCTGGAGTGTCGAGCACCTCAGCCGTTTTATTACGAAAGGCTGCGCTGTCCTAGTTCAGCGTCCAGGAGAGGCCCTGGCCAGGTCAGCGATAGGGCCTCGCCCGGCTCCCCGAGGCCTCCTGCTTTCATTCCCTTTGTTTTCCTCTCCCTGGCCGAGTTGCTGGGGTCAACAGCCAACACCTTAATCTTTTGCTCTCCAACTAATCGGTGAAATAAATGACGCATCTTTGCTTCTGTAATGATATCTTAGTGTGTTTCTTTGAGGTGCCCCAGAGCCCAGTTCTTTGTTTATGGGTGTTTTATATCATGCAGGAATGAAGAATGCTAGCTATTTCGGAGAAACCACCAAATGGGAGGTGTCACAGCAGAGAAACTAAAACGTTGACAGTAGAGTAGGTAGTACTTACCTCATAGTGTCTTCCTAATAGTAAAAAGAAGTACCAAAATTATTTTTACAGCTTTAATGAAGCATAACTGATATATATAGGAAACTGCATATATTTCATGTGTGCAATTGGATGAGTTTGGACATATGCATACACCTAACATACCATCAGTGCCATCAAGGTAACAATACATCCAGCACCTCCAAAGCTTCCTGTGTCCCTTTGCTCTGTGTGTGTGTGGTAAAATGCTTAACCCCAGATCTACCCTCTTAAATTTTTAAGGGCTCAGCACCGTATTGTTAACTGTGGGCGCTGTGTTGTTCAGGGATCGCCAGGGTCTATTCACCCTGTATAACCAACCTTATACCCACTGAACAACCCAGCATGACGCGTTCCGGGCCCATCCGTGTTAAAATGGTAGGGTTTCCTTTTTCAANCAGGGATCGCCAGGATCTATTCACCCTGTATAACCAACCTTATACCCACTGAACAACCCAGCATGACGCGTTCCGGGCCCATCCGTGTTAAAATGGTAGGGTTTCCTTTTTCAAGGCTGAATACTACTCTGCCCTAGGCACGCACCACACTTTCTGCAGCCATTTAGTAAATAGCAGATGACTTTAGTCCTCGCCAGAGCACCCATCGGGGGGAGGCCGGTTAAATGACCTGGGAGAGCGCAGGGCTGAAAGCGGGCGGCCTCGGGAGACGATGCGGACACGGTCCAGGAGCACGGCAGCCCGCAGGGCGAGCGAAAAGGGGTGCAGGGGCGTGGGCGTGCCACCTTTCTATTTACAAAACAGCCCGGCCGGCGTGGCTCAGCGGTTGAGCATCGACCTAGGATCCAGGCGATCGGGCTTCGATTCCCAGGCAGGGCACAGGCCCGGGTTTTGGCTCGATCCCCAGCAGGGGGCGTGCGGGAGGCAGCCGATCGATGACTCTCATCATTGATGTTTCCCTTCCTCTCTCTGAAATCAATAAAGGTATATATATATTAAATAAAAATTTTAAAAA